GACTCTCTCTCTCTCCCTCTCCCTCTGCAGCAACCCCCCCTCGCCATCCTCTCTCCCTCTCAAAAAAAAAAAAAAAATGTTAATAGGAATTGCCATCTAGTTAGAGAAACACTTGGCTTCTAATTCTAACGGTACCTTTCTTTCAGAGGCTCCTGATAACTATTCTTTTCTTTTTTCTTAACTTGCTTCTTAGGAGTATTGAGCCCGCCTAGATCAGGAGTGCAGTCAAGAAATTTTCTTTCTGAAAAGCTCTCCCTCCACTGTGTAGTCTCTCTTCTTAGTCCTTCTTAGTCCTTTTGGGAAAGATTTGTTTTTCTTTTTCAAACATTTCATTCTGAAGTAATTATAAATTTACAGGAGGTTGCAAAGAAATGCACAGAGAAATCCCATACACTTCCTCCAGTTTCTGTCAATAGTAGTAACATCTTACACACGGATGGTACAGTAGCAAAGCCAAGCAACTGGCACTGCTACAATCCATAGCTCTTATCCAGATGTCACCAGCTATGCAGGCACAGGAACACCCATGTGCGTGTGAGTGGCTCTAGGCAATTTTATCACATTCATAGCCTTGCATAACCATCACCACAATAGATGTGCTCAATTGGGGGCGCCTAGATGGCTTGGTTGGTTGAGTGCCCACTCTTGATTTTGGCTCAAGTCGTGGTCACATGGTTCTGCGATTAAGCCCCATGTCAGGCTTCCCGCTCAGTGGGGAGTCTGCTTATTTCCCTCTCCCTCTGCTCCCCCCACTCTCTGTCTCTCTCAAATAAATAAATAAATCTTAAAAAACAATGATGCTCAACTGTATAATCACCACAAGGCTCCCTTTATATCCAGACCCACCTGCTCCCCCTCTCCCTAACTCCTGACAACTGCTAATCTGCTCCCTACCTCTATAATTATGTTATTTCACAAATGTTACATCAGTGGAATCATGAGGTATGTATCTTTTTGAGACTGGCTCCTCATTCAGCATAATTTTGTTGAGGTTCATCCAAGTTGCTGTGTGTATCAATAGTTTATTTGTTATTCCTTCTTATTGATGGGTAGTATTCCATGTTTAACCATTCATGGGAAAAGGCTTTTTATGTTTCAATATGAAGCAATGCTCACGGTCTTAGTCATATTCAGAGAATACCTGTATCTTGGTAGCTACTTATGGTATGCATCAAATAAATACTACGGGACATATTTTTCCTAACTTATCCCTGAACATTGGAAACTTTTTCAACTATTAAGTTTTCACAGTGGCAAAAACATGGGTTCGATTATGCCACAGCCAGATTCATTTAAGAAAACAAACACAACAACTGAAAACTTTCAAAATTAAGATTCCCATTAACCTTAAACAGTTCACTGGCCTCTTTAAGAAAGAAAAAGTTGATATCTGTGAAATTAAGTTTACAAAAAGAGAAACAAAATTTCTGGTAACTCTAGGAGTACTTATACCTTCTGGAAAATTATGAGCTATCTTGTAATAAAAGCTTTCTGCCTGATATATAAGCTCATTTAAATAGGAATTAGAACAATCGCACGTTTCTGGTAAGATGGGCCACATATAAAAAGATCCACTCCCAGATTAATAGAACTGGATGGTAGTTTTCGCAAAAACAAAAACAAAACACACAAAAAAGCTTTGCATGGTCATGCATCATTGTTAGAAGACTGTTTCATAAATAAAAAGGAATCATGCTGTACCCCCCTCATGAAATGCTCTTCCTTTACTTTCAACCAAACAAACCCCAACTATCTCCTAGGCTCAGCTCCAGACCCTTCTCTACAATTCTTCCAAACACACAGCCCTCAGTTCTTTCTCCAACTCATGACCCCTGTGAGATGGCACTTCTCATGTACTGCTATGTAAATATTCTATTTGAGATTCTTATAATTGAGCATCCCACTGGGTTCCAAGTTTCTATCTGTTGTTTATTGCCCTCTTGTTTTTAAGAGCAAAATAAACGTGGAAACCTCCTAAAGTCCTACAATGTGGTACTGGTTACATAAATTATAATTAGCACTAACGAATGATAAATATAGGCATGTATTTAATGTTGTGGAAAGAGGATCACAGAACATACTAATGTCTATTTTACTGTCATTGTCAAACACAGAAAACTAGCATTTTCTGTATATGTAACTATGACAATAACAACAAAGTATACATAAAGAAGGAGAGAGATTAAAAAATTAATAATCCAGGGTTATGTATTTTTCCCTTTCATTTTCTGTTTGTTTTTTTTTCAAAATTTTAATGATAAACATGAGCAATAAAAACAGTAAAAAATTAATGCTACTATGAATACCTGTATATAAGTTTTGGGTTTTTTTAAATTTATTTTTTATTTAAATTCAATTAATTAACATTTAGTGTATTATTAGTTTCAGAGGTAGAGTTCAGTGATTCATCAGTCTTATATAACACCCAATGCTCATCACATCATATGCCCTCCTTAATGCCCATAACCCCCCATTACCCCATCCCCCGACCCCCTTCCCCTCCAGCAACCCTCAGTTTGTTTCCTATGATTAAGAGTCTCTTAATGGTTTGTCTCCCTCTCTGATTTCATCTTGTTTTATTTTTCCCTCCCTTCCCCTATGATCCTCTGTTTTGTTTCTTATATTCCACATATGGGTGAGATTGTATGGTAATTGTCTTTCTCTGTGTATATACATTTTTGTATGCACATACGCTTTCACTTTTCTTGGGTACATACTTAGGGGTGAAATGAGTGGGTCATATACTAGGTGTATGTTGTACACACAAGTATGTCCAGGTATATATCTTATGTGAAGTGTTTGTTCAAATCTTTTGCTCATTTTTTTATTGAGTTGTTTGTTTTCTTATTAGGTCCTGAGAGTATATACATATATATACATAGATATTTTTAAAATTTTTAATTAAAAATTAAATATGTGATTTGCAAATATTTCCCCCCAATCTGTGGTTTGTCTTTCCATTCCCTTAATAGTACAGAACGTCTTGATTTTGATGAAGTCCGATTTATCAAATTTTTAAATGGATCATGCTTTTAGTGTGGTATCTAACACATCTTTGCCTAATCTAAAGTCACAGAGATTTTTTTCTGGAGGTTTTATAGTTTTAGGTCATATTTAGGTCTATAATCCATTCTGAGTTAATTTTTATATAGTGTAAGATGTGGATCAAAGCTCATGTTCGTTGCACGTGGTTATTTAATCATTTCAGTAAAATTAGTTGAAAAGACTATCCTTTCTTGATTAGATTACCTTTGTACCTTTGTTGAAAATCAATTGTCTATACATGTATGGGTCTATTTCTGGACTCTATGCTGTTCCATTGATCTCTTTTGTCCCATTGATTTATCCATCTTGATGCCAATCCTTAAAATTAATTAATCCTGTCTTAATTACTGTAGCTTTATAATAAGTTGAAGTCATGGGTGGTAAATCCACTCCCTTTTACCCTATTTTGGTTGGAAACAGAGGTCAGACTGATGAATTTTCATCCCAGCTCCACCACGTAATACTTGTGTGATTCCATACAAGCCAGTTAATAATGTTTATTACTCATTTACATACTTGTTTATTACTAGAATTAAATATTATAGTGTTTGGGTTAAATGCTTATAAAGAGCTTGAACTAGGATGATGGCTCTGGAAATAAAAAGTACTGGAACTACAGGGTGGCACGGGGGACGGACTCTGCTATCTTTCTCTGCACAGGGACATCCTCTTGCACCTTCCATCTTTTTTTTTTTTTTTTTTTAGATATAATTGATATACAACATTGTGTAAGTCTGAGGTGTACTCTGTGTTGGTTTGGTACATGTATTGCAATATGATTACTCCAACAGCATTAGTTAACACCTCTATCACATCATATACTCATCATTTTTGTGTGTGTTAAGAATGGTTAAGATTTAGTCACTTAGCAACTTTGAAGTTTCTAATATAATATCGTTGACTGTAATCACTATGCTGTCCATTAGATCCCCAGGACTTATTCATCTGCTCGTTGTAAGTTTATAACCTTAAACAACATCTCCCCAATTCCCCTGCTTCTCAGGCCCCTGACCTTTCATCTTAGATATTGAAGCTTTGCGGGGCGCCTGGGTGGCTCAGTCGTTAAGCATCTGCCTTCGGCTCAAGTCATGATCCCAGGCTCCTGGGATCGAGCCCCTCATCGGGTTCCCTGCTCAGCGGGAAGCCTGCTTCTCCCTCTCCCACTCCCCCTGCTTGTGTTCCCTCTCTCGCTGTGTCTCTCTCTGTCAAATAAATAAATAAAAATCTTAAAAAAAAAAAAAAGATATTGAAGCTTTGCAGCAAATTGCTCTGACGGCAGGACTGATCACTTTGTACTGCAACAACGAGAATGACAAAATAAAGGTGAAAAAGAATCTTAAAAACTGGTCAGGACCTCCCAGTTTAGGGCGATCATTCCATTCTATCAACAGTTTTCTATGCAGTTTTATAAAATTTTATTTCGAAACAAATTCTTTAAAGAAGAGAGCGGGATGCCTGGGTAGCTAAGTTTGTTAAGCGTCTGCCTTGGGTTTAGGTCATGATCCCAGAGTCCTGGGATCGAGCCCCTTGTCAAACCCCTCAGGCTCAGCAGGGAGTCTGCTTGTTCTTCTCCCTCTGCCCTTCCCCCTGCTAGTGCTCTCTCTCTCTCTCTCTCTCACTCAAATAAATAAATAAATAAAATCTTTAAAAAAAAAGACTTTAAAAAAATAAAGAGAGCATCCTACATATTACCTTGAAACCCAGGTTACAGTAGCTTTTTGGCCAGTTTGGTGTGGTTTTCTTCAACTCTTTTTTTTTTTTCCAGTCTTTGCAATACCCGTCCCTGCCAGTCTCCAAGGGCCCCCCAGTAACGGGTCAGCTCCACTCTAAAGGGGAGGAGCTACTTCCCAGGATCGCTGCCCAGCAACCCAGCGACCAACAGTGTTGCCCTCCTGGGGACCAAAGAGGACCCTGATCACTCTGTTGTGTGCCATGTGAGGGCTATGTCCAACAGGATGGCTGGTGGACCCAAGAAATGTTGGCCTTTGATTGGATTCAGTCTTATCTGTCTTAAAATGGTGAGTTCAACATTCCAACCTACCGGCAACTATTTAGAAAAAAAAAAAGACATTTATTACCTCTTTCTTTCTTTCTTTTTTTTTTTTTTTTTTTTGAGAGACTAGGGGGTGGGAGATCGAAAACAAAATAACCGTACAAAGATTGTATATGTTTGCATGTTTGAAATTTAATGCAGTTTACTAGAGAAAGAAAACAAGATTATCATTATATTTTAAGAACAAAGATTTTTGAAAAATCTGTCAGCAGCTACTGACTTAGTTCAATAGGCAGATTCAGGGAGAAAAATGAAATAGTAATGTGATCTGCCTCCAGCCTCTAAATTCTATTTAGGATTCCTTTGTGGTAGATTTGAGTTTGGGAAATGATTTGTACAAATAAATACTCTGTATGGATTCAAATATTGCTCACATTATGCATTAAAATGTGATAAATTTATTACTGCTCTGATTTATGTTTTATGTTTCCCTAAATGGTTTTTTTCTTCATGGTTCTAATTTTTGTAAACTTTCCTTTTCAGGTTGCTTCAGCAAAAACAGGTAAAATTTTTTGAAACACAAGCTTTCCCTCCCCATATTTGATGTTAATTTCCATTGTTAATTCTTGGGCTACCCTGAAATAGAAAAGCTATACCAGGAAAAATATTTAACATCTTCTGTGCACTCACACTGTGAATCTAACTGGTAAGACAATAAATACATGGATCAAACTTAGAAATTCTCATAATATATTCCTATTGAGTACTGAGATGGATAGAAAGTCACGTAGTCATGGATTTTTCTCAAATACATTTAGCCATCAATAGAATATTATGATGATGATCATTCTAGTCAAAGAAATAAAGTTTTAAGCATAAATAGTGAAGAGTCTAATTTATGTAATTTTTCCTATTTGTCTTCTGAAGAATTAGAGGAGAAAACAGAAATGTTTTTGAGTAGAGGATCAAGATTCTCTACTTTAATAAGAAAGGATTTTATACTTCTAATAGTGCATCCTTAAAACACAGAAAAAGAGAACTCAGAGCTAGAAAAAGGCTTTCTTTTAAAAAGATTTTATCATTTTTCCTAAATAAATGACTAAAGGCAAAGATAATATCTCTAGAGACCTTGCCCAGCTCCTCCATTCTAGAAATTTACGTCCCCTGAAAGGAAATGTATATTCAATGAGATTTTGATTATCTGGAGGACCCATGTAATATTGATTATATCAACAATAAAGTCTCATGGCATTCAACTAAAATGAGAACAATTTTTATTTATTATTTTGTCTATACCACAGGAAAGGAAGTACAAATAAGGCAATTTAAAAATTGGGTGGTTTTTTTTAAGAATTTTTTTTTAATTTTAAAGTAATCTCTACACCTAACATGGACCTTGAACTCACAACCCCAAGATCAGGTGCCCCCCCAAATTGGGCATATTTTTAAAAAATAAATAAATAAAATATTAAAATTTGGCATAGTTATGTATGACTGACCCATAAAATCGATGCATGTGCAATAAGTTTTCAAAAATCATCTCATGCTTTATTTTTATTTACTTACCTTATTCTTGAGAAACCTTCAGGAGTGACCACGAAGCAATGAAAAAGAGTGGTTGGCCTGATACAAAGTAACTTTTTTTAGAAGTGGCCTTTAGGGGGACAAAATCTAGTTCTGCGTCTCTTAGAAGGTTCCAGGACACACGGGACACGCTGAGCCCTCAGAGCAGGTCTTTTTTTAGTCCCACACTCTCCACACCATTGGAGAGAAAGAACGGGGCAGGCTGAGGTGGTGCTGTTAATTGATTCAACCTGGCTTTCCAATAAATGGGATGTGTTTTATTGACATTGTAAAGGAGGTTTCCTTCTGGGTGTGTGTATTATGGTTCTCTTCCAGCTCTGAAATAGGCTCTGTATCTGTATCTGGCCACTGGGGCTACGCGAGCTAATTTAGATCGCCATGAGTTGGTAGAATGCACAGATGCTGAGAAGCAAAGGGTTTTACTTTTCACTGACCAGAGGGGTTGCTTGCAAATCTAGAGAATAAAGTTCTCTCTTTCATCAAAGCAGTAAGTGGGCCAAACACGGGACTCAGAAAGAGGGAAGACTTGCTGCTAATTTCCTGAGGCTTACCCATCCCACTCGGGCTTCTCATCTCTTTAAGGGAAGCATAGTACAGAGGTGTTGATCTCTCACTGCTGTTGCTGCTCATATCCTGCCCTAGGATCACAGGCAATCTGTCTCTCCTGTGCTTACCCCAGACTCCCCCAGAATTTCACCTTCCCCGGTACTTGTCCATGGCTGTGCCATGTGGTCAGCTCTTCCAAACCCAAAACTTGCTCTTCCTGGTACACACACACACACACACACATGCACACACATACACACACACATGCACACACCAGCCCTTCCCACCTTTCAAAGTGCCCTTGCACACACTATCTTACTTAATCATTACAACAATCCTAAGACGTAGATATTTCACATTTTTTTTGATATTTTACATTTCAAAGTAAATCCTAAGATGTAGATATTATTAATATTCTGCATGCTCAAGGGAGAAAACGGAGGCCAGAAGAGGTTAAATGACTTGTACACGTTCCCATGCAAAAGTAAATGGCAGAGCCGGGGCTCCAACCCAGAGCTCCTGGATCCAAATCCTGTGCTGTTTCCACCTGTGTTTCATCCTGCTGACGCTGGCTTCATGCATTACCCCTTCTGAGCAAAGGTGCCTCTCCCAGCTCACTTCAAGGGACCAAGTTTTGTGGCGCCCTCAGGCCCCTTGGCAGGCCTGTGAGGAGATAGCCTATGTCATGCTAGTCTTTCAGATGCCTCTCAAACCACTCTGTGAATGCAGCCAGGCCTCACAGGAGAGAAGATAAACTGCGGAGACAAAGGAAAAAGGAGTTGCAAGACATCACAAAGTTAGGGCGCCTGGGTGGCTCAGATGGTTAAGCGTCTGCCTTCGGCTCAGGTCATGATCCCAGAGTCCTGGGATCGGATCCCGCATTGGGTTCCCTGCTCCTTGGGAGCCTGCTTCTCCCTCTGCCTCTCTCTCTCTCTCTCTCTGTCTCTCATGAATAAATAAATAAAGTCTTAAAAAAAAAAAGACATCACAAAGGTAGAGGAAAGAAGGCAAATAACACAGGACAAGTGACTTGGAGCAGAAAAGGGATGAATGTGTGGGAGGGATGAAAGTGGGGGCCCTTGCTGGGGCTTTCTTTTTTTTAAATATATTTTTTAAAAGATTTATTTATTTACTTCAGAGAGAGAGAGAGAGAGAGAGCGCGCGCGGCCGGGAGGGGAAAAGGGAGAGGTCATTTTAAGCAGACTCTGCACAGAGGAAGGAGCTGGATGCGGGGTTCGATCCCACAACCCTGAGATCATGACCCGAGCTGAAAGCAAGAGTCAGATGCTTAACTAACTGCGCCACCCACGCGCCCCTTGCTGGGGCTTTCTATCCTGCAGTGGGGGCGAGAGGACATGGATGCTTCCTGCAGAGTCACCTTCTGCTTTTCTCCAGCATATATAACTTTCATAGTTTTCTTTTGATGGCAAAGGAGACAGTCCTGGGTGATGTTCAAGGAATGTCTGGCCAGTGCACAGTGGAGACTTTGTTCAATCTTGCAGCATGGTTATTTCTGAGTCGCTGCCAAAGCCAACTCTCTGGGCTATTGGTGCAGAAAGAGAAGGTTGTCTGTGTCATGCACACTGGGATTTGGCCAGTGGGGGTCTGCTGGGGGGAGGGAGTTGATACTGGTAAATCATAAATGTGGTCTGTATTTACTTTTTCTCCTCTTTGCCCTAGAGTTTAGTTTGGAATTTGGTATATAGGGGTTTTCCCCAACAAATGCAGTATCATTGAACAGAAAAGGCTGAGTTCCAAACTTAAAACCAGCTATTTTTATGTGACCTTTCCTTCCACTTGGACCTCTTATACCCAGGGCATTCTCTGTGTCTGTGGATTTTTACAATGTAGTAAATCTTGTCACCCTGCTGTATCTCCTACCCCTGCCCCAAAGTGTAGGAACGTATATACTCTTGACATAAGCATTCGTATCCCTCAGACAGACTGTGGCCTGGCCCAAATGAGGGGCCACAGCGTCTCATTCTTATGCTGGGGCAGATGTTTTGATGAAGAAGGGGAGAATAAAGTTTATTTTTATTTTATGTGGAAGAATCTAAAAATGGTTCTACTCTGATAATACGGAAGTACAATGGAGCAATCCTAAAACAACTCAATTCTCCCCCTCTTCCATTTAGTTTTTTTTTTTTTAAGATTTTATTTATTTATTTGACACAGAGAGAGACACAGCGAGAGAGGGAACACAAGCAGGGGGAGTGGGAGAGGGAGAAGCAGGCTTCCCGCCGAGCAGGGAGCCCGATGCGGGGCTCGATCCCAGGACCCCGGGACCGCGACCCAAGCCGAAGGCAGATGCTTAACCATCTGAGCCACCCAGGCGCCCCCTTCTTCCATTTAGTTTTAAAGCCCTGTGGGAAATGTGCAGGTGTGTGGGATGGAGACATAGCCGCAGCAGGGGTGGGACCGTGGCCATCGGGAGGAGGCAGTGCAGCATGGGTGAGGGACAGGGAGGGGACACTAGCAGTGGCAGAACAGGCCTGGGAATTCAGGAGTGCCAAGCCAGAGAAGCCTCTAGAATAAAGCCCCTCAGTGACTCTCTCCTTTCTCTCAGAGTTCTTTCCCACAATCACATCCCACTCTTTTTTTTTTTTTTTTTTTTTAAATAGGCTCCGCAGCCAATGTAGGGCTCAAACTCACAACCCCGCGATCAAGGGTTGTGTGCTCCGCCAACTGAGCCAGGCAGGGGCCCCACCCTTTTAGCCCCACTCTGATTTAACTCTTTGAGAAGTATAAAAAGTGCAAAATATCCTAGAGGCAACTGGGAAAAATCTCTTTTTGAAATCCTGTTCCTGAATGAGAGGTTTGAGCTTTCTGGCTCTCTTCTGGAGAATAACTCTGCCTTTCTTTTTCTCTGTTTTGTCTTGATCCTGAAGGGCAGGGGTGCCTGGCTGACCCAGTCAGTAGAGCATGGGGCTCCTGATCTCGGGGTTGTGAGTTTGAGCCCCACGTTGGGTATACAGATTATTTAAAAATACAATCTTTTTTTAAATTATTATTATTTTTTATTTATTTGACAGAGAGCGAGACAGCGAGAGAGGGAACACAAGCAGGGGGAGTGGGAGAGGGAGAAGCAGGCTTCCCGCCGAGCAGGGAGCCCAACGCAGGGCTCGATCCCAGGACCCCGGGACCATGACCTGAGCTGAAGGCAGATGCTTAACAACTGAGCCACCCAGGCGCCCCAAAAATAAAATCTTTTTTTTTTAAAAGATTTATTTATTTACTTACTTATTTAGAGGGAGAGCTAGAGAGAGTGCAAGCAGGGGGAGGGGCAGGGGAAAAGAGAGAGAATCTCAAGCAGACTCCCGGCTGAGCATGGAGCCTGGTGTGGGGCTTAATCCCAGGACCCTGAGATCATGACCTGAGCTGAAACCAAGAGTTGGACACTTAACGGACTGCACCACCCAGGTGCCTCTAAAAATGAAATCTTTTTAAAAAAAGAAAATGAGAGCAAAGTTTATATCTAAAGGATGACATGAAAATGATTTAGTCTGAGAAGTAAAATGATGAAGAAATAATCTTCATAGGTATCCTAGCTAATGTACAACTTCAAAATCTCTTCCAACGGGCACCTGGGTGGCTCAGTTGGTTAGGCGTCTGGCTCTTGATTTCCATCAGGTCACGATATCAGGGTTGTGAGGTGGAACCCTGTGCAGGGCTCATGCTCAGTGTGGAGTCCACTTGGGATTCTCTCCCTCCCTCTGCCCCACCCCCCACTCATGCACGAGCTCTCTCTCCCCCCCAAAATAAATAAATACATAAATACATAAAATCTTCAAAATCTCTTTCAGCTCCTGAAATACCCACTATTGATCAGGCCTATTCAAAAATCAGCAACAGTATCACTGTGGAATGGGCCACAGTGCCGGGGGCCACCAGTTACCTCCTCACAGCTGAAGATGGAGACACTGTCATTGAAACCATGGTGGCCAATTCCCCAGGCACTGTGACAGGCCTGAAGGCTGCGACCTTGTACCAAATCACTGTCAGATCCATCAGTGCCACTGGGAGAAGCCAAGCATCACCTCCGAAGCAGGCAAAGACAGGTAGCAGGATGCTTATCCTCTGTTGAGCTATTGTTTGTGACCTGGATCACTTATAGGGAGGCTTCAAGTACATGATATAATTTTGTGTCATGTGAGTGCCTGTGATTCAGGGCCCAGAGACGAAAGCAACCAAATGATGTTTTTGGCATTTCAGATATCTGTGGAGGAGGTGGTATTTAAGTTCCAGATGCTTTGGAAAATAAAACCGATTTCTGGGTATCTTTAAGAACACCCCTGCTTTTAAAGCTCTGAAAAAGGGATTTCTGTTTTTAACCTCAGTTATCCATAAACACCATGCTAAATAAAGAACACATAGAAGGGATTTTACTACATTTTGACTTACTTGAAAACATTTGGAGTTTGTCATCAGCATTACTTAAATTGAGTTGATAAAGTTGTACCTAGGCATATTTCCAAAAGGTTGTGTGCACATTAAAATATTATAAACCGTCACTTCCCCCATTGAGTTATACTATAATTACAGGGATGTTTTATATAATTTCTTACCAACCTCCAGTTGAAAGTAATGCCTAATAGTAGAGTTTTTCTGTTCCCCATTCCTCTGCCGAGTCATTTATGATTAATTTACATTTAGATAACCATTATTTAATGGGACTCTGCTATAAATCCCTCAAAGCAAATGATTATTTCATAATATGGATGATCAACTTCAAATTACTTGTTCCTAAATTTGAATTATCCTCCATTGCAAACACATGTGTTTTTGTCCTCATAGTGTTGGCTGCACCAATTCTAGAAGTAAGCTCTCCAAGTCCAGACTCTATCCTTGTGCAGTGGGAAGCTGTATATATGGCAATTGGATTCTCTGTGTCCATCATGCAAGCGAATGGTTTGGGTAGAATATGGAAAGAGAATACCACAAACACCTCCTTGACGTTCACCAGTTTAGAAGCTGGGACTCTCTACACCATAAAGGCCTACGCATGGAATGCCAATGGAACACCTGGGGATGACTCTACCTGCAATCAGAGAACAAGTAAGGACTTCCCAGCGCAGCCCCCAGCAATCTCCCTTTTGATGAATGAGAGGGGCTCTGCATTGTAGCCATCAGGAGTGGTGTTAAGTGATAAGTACACTTAACAGATATTTAAATTTATTATGAGTTTATGTATAGTGTCTTGACTGTTCCTCTTTGGCGGTTTAAATGCTGACTACATGTATAAAGACATGCTGCTCAGCATACACAGAGCGTGACTTCTCCCTCCCTGATAGCCAACTTACTTTCAAGCATACACATTCGGTATCACACAGCGGGAGATGATTTCTGGTAGGTTTACCAGTTTCCGATACCCTTTCTAGGTTCAGACCAATAGCATAAACAAAAAGAATTGGGACAAACAGGAATTCATTTACTCAGTAGACATTTAGTGAGTGTGTGCCAACTTTGAGTAGGCATTGTTCTAGAGATCCAGCAGCAAACAAAACAAAGTTCCTGTTGTTACGGTACTAAATGCTGTGGTGGGAATCAGAGGTTCAGATATATTTCCCAAAACCTCAAACTTAGACCTGAGGTCAGCACGGGGTTTCCTATCACCTCCCCTCCAGTTGAAGGTTGAGAAGCTAGAGCATGGTGTGTGTTCTCTCCCCATCCCCATGGCAGGGGTACCCCGACCAAGGGATCCCACTTCCTAAGTGGAAGCCCACACTGCGTTGCTGGAACAAGCTAAAAGAATGAGAAGGAGAGGGGGGGGGAAGGAGGGAGATTTTTTTTCCGTCTCTCAAGGCAGAGTAAGCCATCCACTGACAATATGGTCTAATAGATGCTAGACTCTCACCAACCAGATAAACTATTTCATCCCTTGGAGAGGACCAAGGAAAGGGTGGAAAGAAACCAGAAATGTTGTCTCCAACATTTCCCAAGTTTGGAGGGGAGAGGAAGCCCCATGGTCTATGGGTCAAGACAGAAATTCAGGGAGAAAAGGGTTTGCCTTTTATAATACTTCTCTCCAGTGAAATCCTAGCAAGGTGGCCCGAAGGTGATTCAGGATGGGCCCGGTAAGTCAGGATGTCTGTGATAAACCAGGGTCCCTGGGCCTTTTCCTAGACATTCATTCATTCTTTCTTTCCGGAAACAATGATCAAGGACCCACTATGTGCTGGACGTAGTTTAGCTGATGGGGAAACAAAATTAATTAAAGCATAATCCCTACACTCAGAGAACTGAGTGTGTCTTGGGAGAGACCAATGTATAAAACAGTGGTTACAGTTCCGTGTGATAGAGAGAAGGATTTGCAGGCACAGAGCGGCTCGGGAGGAAGCCTCTCCACCTGGCTGGGGACAGGGACAGCCTTCTCCGACAAGTGACTATTTTCTTTAAGTCTTCCTCTTCATTTGTTTCCCATGTTTTAAAATTGTGTAAAGTTTATTTATTTATTTATTTATTTATTTATTTATTTAGATTTTATTCATTTATTTGTCAGAGAGAGAGAGAGCACAAGCAGGGGTTGGCAGGCAGAGGCAGAGGGAGAAGCAGGCTTCCCGTGGAGCAGGGAGCCCGATGCGGGGCTCGATCCCAGGACCCCAGGATCATGACCTGAGTCGAAGGCAGACGCTTAACTGACTGAGCCACCCAGGCATCCCAAAATTGTGTAAAGTTTAGATTTAGCCTTCCTATTAGTTTGTGAGGGCTGTCGAAACAAAGTACCTCAAACCGACTTAAACAACAAAAATGTATTGTCTCCCAGTTTTGGAAGCCAGAAATCCGAAATCAAAGTGTCGGCATAGGTGGCTCCTTCAGGGCTGTGAGGGAAAGATCTGTTCCAGGCCTTTCTCCTTGGCTTGTAGAGGGCACCCTTCACAGTCACATGGCATTCATTCTGGAAGTGTATGCCTGGGTCCAGACTTCCTCTTTTTGTTATTTTATTTTTATTTATTTATTTTTATGAAGTGCTTCATGATTTTGCATGTCATCCTTGTGCAGGGGCCATGCTAATCCATATCATTCCAATTTTAGTGTATTTGCTGCTGCGGTGAGCACAAAATTAACCGTCTCTATAAGGACACCAGTCATATTGGACAGGACCCACCCTAATGATCTCATCTTACTTTAATAGCATCTACTATGACCTGTTTTCAAATAAGATGACAGTTGGAGGCACTAGGGGTTAGGACTTCAACATGTGAGTTTTGAGAGGACTCAGTTCAGCCCCTAACAGCCCCCGACTACTCTACTCATTTTTCCTGGTTCTCTCATGCCCCATGAGGGAAGGGCAGGTTGTCCTAAAATGCTACAGGTGACCCTTACTAGCCTTGGGCCCAGAATTACCCCAGAGCAGATCTGCGTCTGCAGCTAAGTTCACCATGAAACAAGGGAAGGGTCCTGTGAAGATGGCCTATTGGGGGAACATGACAGAGCATGAGTTGTTGAGTCTGTTTCCTCGAATGGGGCCTTCCCTGGGTCCAGAAGGTCCTGCTTTTTGCTCATATGCTATGCAAAGAGATCTCGAATGCCTGCCAGGTGGGCCTCATTACAGCACAGATTCTGAGAACTGAGGCCAGTTTCTTTCCTTCCAGCCCAAGAGAACACTCCTCAAGCTTTTTCAAGAGGATAACCCTGAAAAAAAGGAAGGCGTATTTCTGAGGATATAGAGGGAAGTGTTTTTGGAGATACTAAAATGACTGCCTCAATGTGTGACCATCACACTTGATACGTTCCTTCCTGCCCTTTGATTTAGAATGGAATGAAAGTCTGCTCTTCTAGAAATAGTTATAACCTAAAAGCTCTTACAGAAAAAGTCTTAGCAGGTGTCAAAGGTAAGGAAGGGAGGGGTCTGGCTGGCTCAGTCGGTAGAGCCTATGACTCTTGATCTCGGGGTTGTAAGTTGGGTGTAGAGACTAATCTATAGTCAGTTAAGTGGCGACTCTTGATTTCGGCTCAGGTCATGATCTCAGGGTCAGGGGATGGAGCCCCACATCAGGCTCCACTCTCAGCGGGGAGTCTGCTTGAGATTCTCTCCCTCTGCCCCTCCCCCCCGCTTGCACTCTTTCTCTGTCTCTCTAAAAGAAATAAATAAATCTTTAAAAAATAAATAAAAAATAAAAAGTAAAGAAGGGAGGTTGTTGAAGCCCAATCCATTCAGCTTCATCAATCAATAATAGAATATTTGACCTACCATTTAATAATAACATACCCACATGGCCCTTTTGGCCCTTCACATTTATAATTTCATTTAATTATTCAATCACTTGTTGTGCTGTGCATTCACTGATTCATTCATTCAAAATATGTTTATTTACCATCTATATGTGCTAGGGACTGATCTTATTAGATCCATTTTACAGATAAATAGAGTAAATACCATGGCCAAGGTCACATAGCTAGTCATGAGTTTGCACAGTCAATGGCAGATGTGTTACCCTAAATCCCAATGTTATGCTCTAAACACTAGCAATTCTCCTTCTGTCGTGGTGCCTCATCCTCCAAGCTCTGCAATATTGGTTGTTAGGCCAGATCTTACTTGGGTTCTTGAGGCTACTGCAAAATCGTAATTGTTTCTCAAAAATCTAGGTCCTCCGGCTCCTGCCAACATTCAAGTCTCTTTTGACAGTGGTGCTCTGAAGGCCTCTGTTTCATGGGCCCCAATGGAAGGAGCTTTCAACTATACCGTGATGGCTTTGAGCGATTCTTCAGAGCTGAGCTGCCGTACAACTCTCAGCACCTGTACCATCTCCTCACTCCAGTGTGGGACTGAGTACCTCATTTCAGTTTTAGCAAGTAATGATGCTGGTTCTAGCAAATCAACTTCCGCGGAGGCCCTGAAAACTGGTACGTAAACAAGTGTGAGATCACCGTGGGGCTGGTGACCCAGGGCGACTGCCAGAAGGGAAACAAAAAATCACCTGATGTTGTTCCAGAACACTCTGGAAGCAGTGAACATGAAAGCCTGGTCCGAATGAAAGCATTGAGTTGGACATTCTCATGAGTTTTAATAATGTGATAGTGATACCAGATATCAGGCATTAGAAATAGCACTTCTTCGAAAATTGGTAGGAGTCCAGGCTCCTATCTATCATTAATTAATTTCCTGTATCCTTTGTGAAGTTGTACAGATTCTAAGATCCAGTTGGAGTGATACACAGCTCTAACTGTGCAGTACTCTTCCTTACCTCATGCTTCACAGACCTAGGCCTGGTGGGAGGTATTTTTTAAGATAAAGATGGGCGGTCTATAATTCTTCGTATGTGTTTAAATATCTTCCCATTTTCATCTTATCGGAGAAATAAAGACTTACATATGTGGAGGTTTACTCGTCTAGTTAAAAACATCCGTATGTTTTTGTGTTGGGAACTAGCATTTAGTGATGACCTTCTATGTACCAGGTACTGTAAGTACATTATTTTACTTAATTTTCATGACATCTCAATGAGGTAGGCTCTATTGTCTCCTTTTTCAGATAGAACAACTTTAGGTCTTGGGCGCCTGGGTGGCTCAGTTGGTTAGGTGACTGCCTTTGGCTCAGGTCATGATCCTGGAGTCCTAGGATCGAGTCCCGCATCGGGCTCCCTGCTAGGCGGGGAGTCTGCTTCTCCCTCTGACCCTCCCCCCTCTCCTGCTCTCTCTCTCTCTCATTGTCTCTCACAAATAAATAAATAAAATCTTAAAAAAAAAAAACAACTTTAGGTCTGAGAAGTGAAGTAATTTTTTCAAAGGCATACCAATAGTAAGTGCTAGAGCTAGGATTCAAGCCCAGGATTGCCTGATTTTCATCCTCTAAGCCAAAGAAGATGTAGATAATCACAGTAATGTTCATTTTACCCAACAGTCAGAACTATATCACTCTAAGCATAAAAGGCTTCTGAACAAAGAGGAAAAGAGCCATCCCCAAGCTGATGCATTATGTTTCTCAGGGAAAAAGTAACAGCCAAGCTCTCAGATCCACGGTTTCTTATGGTTCTTAAATTAAGGTCACTGATAGCACACCTGGTGATTTGGCTTCTCTTTTGACAGCTATAATTTACCCTGGATGGCACATTAGAAATGGTTATGAGGTTGGGATAGCTGAGCGTGAAGGAAGAGATAAGAATACACTTTCAAAAAGCACAGCAGATCCAAGGCAGTCATTTCATGCAGGAGAGAACCATGCAGTGTTTCCCAATCTTGGATGCACATTAAGAGAATCTGGGGAGTTTTTTAAAAATCCACCCAAGACCAATGAAATCGGAGCTTCTGGGAATGGAGTCTGGGTCTGACTAGTTTGTGAAAGTGCCTCAGTTAATTCTAATGTGCAGCTGGGGTAAAGCGCCACGGAAGGAATCCTGCACATTTATGGTCGGGAGACACCACTGCACTTCGTGTAGAACAATCAGTCAGGATCATGGGCACGGCCCACACTGATCAATAAAAGAAATATGTTTAGAAAGTGCTATGTGTTTCCTGGGTTCCAGAATTGTGAAATTTATTTTAGGAGGAGTGCCACTAGAGACGGCTAAAATCTTAAAAGCGTAGAGATCGAAAGAACAAGCTTCCTTTGAATTCCTTCCTTCACGCTGTGCTGATCCTGGCATTGCCTTCACACGGAAACGCAGCAGTATTAACCAAGGGGATCCATGCCTGCTTCTGTACCATGTGAGATAAGTTTTACAACACGTGAGAACGTCTCGTTGCTGTGCACATGCTATTTGATTTATTCCTTGTCCGGCGCCTACGGTATCCTGGACAATTGCAAAGATGCAAAGGAAATCTCCTGCAGGACTCTGATAGCTGTTCATTATGTACCGTTTCCTAGTTGCTTGTGCCCCTGGAAGAGTGACCATCCGAGAAGATCCTCCAGGCCACCTGTCTGTGGCTTGGTCCAATGTAGATCTGGGCGATTACTACGTGGCCTTTGTGAAGAGTGATGATGGCTTGGAAGTCCACTGCAACACATCCCTCACCCAGTGCAATTTCTTATCTGAATGTGGCTTCACTTACTTTATCAGTGTTTTTGCCTATAACAAGGCAGGGCAGAGTCCTCTGGGCGATGTGTTCAATTACACCACAGGTAAGTTACACTTCATGCTTGTAAAGGGAGTGCTGAGGTCACTAAACTCTACAGCAGCATAGATCACCTATTGCACTAATTGACTTACATAGACTACCTCAGCTCTCACATTCCTTCCAGATCAGGAAATTTTGGCTTCCTGGCCTCAAGGCTTTGAATGCCTTGAAGAATGCCTCTGCATTCTTGACAAGAATGCAAGGCTTAGGAGTGAAAAGAGAGCAAAGAATATAGTCGTTCACACCTGCTCTGAGAAATTAAAACCTCCACCAAGATCTACTCAGTGTTCAGCCTCCTGTGCAGGGTGCCGAAGGGGATGCAGTCCTCCCATCTCAGGAGTTCACTCTTTCCCCAAGACCCAAAACCAGAGATGCAATTGCAAAGGCATGGTGAGGAAGGTTCTGCAGCAGGACCCCTGTGTTTAAGGCCTAACTCAACCACTAACTCATTTGTAAAATGAAGATAATGACATTTACCTTGTTAGTTTCTTAGTATACTCCACTGCAAAATGGGACAAACAATGAGAGCATGAATATGAAAAGGTCTTTGGATGTGGCAAAGCACAGTGCAAAGTATTTTTATTAGCATCCTTATTACTGTTATTCTTCTCCATTAGACTTGGATCTTCTCTAGAGCAGGGACTGTTTTATTTACCTCTTCATCCTCAATGCTTATCATAGTGCGATCAGCCTATAGGAGAGTCTTGACTTTTTGAAGAATGAATGGAGCGAGTGACTTGAAATTAATTAACCATGCTGACAAATAAGAACACTGTATCATTATGTACATAACGCTACTAGCTGGATTACAATAAATTTTACCAAGATGAAGGAATCAAATAATTGGTGCTTTTGGAATATGGGTTAAGGGGCTACCAATCAAGTCTCAAGAGCATGGAGGGCCTTTCAGAAGGAGTGGCCTTGACCTGAATATTGAAGGGTGGATGGAATGTAGGTGGGGCAAGGGCATCCTAGAGAAAGTCCAAGCTGAGTTAGACATTTGTCAGAATTCATCCATGACATAATATATGGTCTCTTCTAAGATCTACTAATACAATCATGCTTCCCCCTCCTCCAGCCCTCAGTTTTATCTGGTTAGTGTCAGGAAAGATTGATAGGATCCAGAAGCTAGACCAGGTATGAGTTTTCTCATGCAGAAGAGGGGAACAACATTCCAGTGTAGGGTTAGCGGTCTTTGAGGCATAGGGAAATGAGAGCATATGCGGGGTGGGGAATTGAGAAGACTGGTGTGAGGGCACCTGGGTGATTCAGATGGCTAAGTGTCTGCCTTCAGCTCAGGTCATGATCCCAAGGTCCTGGGATCAAGTCCCGCATTAGGCTCCCTGCTCGGTGGGGAGTCTGCTTCTCTCTCTCCCACTACCCCTCCTTCCTGCTCGTGATCTCTCTTTCTCTCTCTCGCTCTCTCTCTCTCAAATAAATAAAATCTTTAAAAAAGAGAGAGAGAGGGAAGAGAGAAAATTGGTGTGGCAGACGATGGGGAGGCACAGCTCAACGTGTAGACTGGATGCAGCTTGTAATGACCTTGGATGTCACATGCATAGGGGAATTATCCTCTATTTCGTGGGTGTTAGGTCAAGATTGGAACTGGACAGACCTGTAGGAGATTCTCTCTCTCTCTCTCTTTTTTTTTTTTTTTTTTGAGAGGGAGAGGGAGGGGAGGGACAGAGGGAGAGGGAGAGAGACACTCTTCCCTACCCCTTTGGATTTTATTTGATTTTTATTTTAACATATAATGTATTATTTGCTTCAGAGGTACAGATCTGTGATTCAACAGTCTTGCACAATTCATAGCACCCACCATAGCACATACCCTCCCCAATGTCTATCACCCAGCCACTCCATCCCTCCCACCCCCCTCAGTTTGCTTCCTGAGATTAAAAGTCTCTTATGGTTTGTCTCCCGTAGAGAGAATCTTAAGCAGGCTCCACGCCCAGGCCGGAGCCCAATGCCAGGCTGGATCTCATGATGCTGAGATCATGACCTGAGCCAGAATCAAGAGTCTGATGCCTAACTGACTGAGCCACCCAGTCGCCCCACGGAGATTCCTGCAGCAATTTAGGAGAGTGGTGGCAGAGGCTCTGAGCACCAGGAGGTCGGGTCCCTCTGACATCATTGCTCCTTTACTGACCTCCATTCTCTCTCTGCTCCTGCTTCCAGCTCCCTGTTGTCCTACCGACATCAACCCTGTGTTGGTGTCCAGTGACAGAGTAGAGATCGTCTGGTCTCCTGTCCGTGGTGCCGAACTTTATGAAACCAAGGCTGTAGATGGGTTCACCGTGGTTGAGTGCAATGACACTGCTCCTGCTTGCACCCTCTCAGCTCTAGAGTGCGACACCAAGTACAACATCACCGTGTACTCCTTCAGCGAAGTCCGGGGCAGCAATATGTCCTGTACTTCCCAATTTATAACCACAGGTATGATGGAGCTATGACTTCCTTCACTGACCTTTGAACAATTCACCCTAGCTACGCCTCTCAGGATGGGCATTCAGTAAGAACTGTAAGGCCACTCTGTGGGGACCATTAGAGCCCCTGTCTTACTACAGAGAGGCCGAAGAGAAGGTAGAAGAGGGGAAGTGGGAAGAAAAGAAAACCAAAAAGGAGGTCATGGGAAGAGTGGAAGGTTTCCCCAGTGATGACTTCAGCCATTCAGTTCCTCTGACTTTTGGGGGGCTGATCTGTATTCACACTATGAAGGTTAAGCCCACAAATATTTGTCTTTCTTTTTTTAGAGAGGAAGAGAGAAAGAGAGAGAGTGAGCTAGTAGGGGGGAGGGTCAGAGGGAGAGAGAGTCTTAAGCAGGCTCCACACCTAGCTCAGAGCCCCACACGGGGCTTGATCTCACAGCCCTGAGATCATGACCTGAGCCTAAATCAAGAGTTGGACGCATCTGAATCCAATAAAAAAAGTTCAGATTGCCCATAAACTTCCCAAATTGAAGGATATAAAAGTAAATTTTCACTCTTTAATTAAGAAAAAAAAAAAGAGTTGGATGCTGGTTGCCTCGGTGGCTCAGTCGGTTAAGTGTCTGCCTTCAACTCAGGTTGTGATCTCAGGATCCTGAGATCAAGCCCCATGTCATGCTCCCCGCTCAGCGGGGGGTCTGCTTCACCCTCTCCCTCTGCCCCTACCCCCTGCTTGTGCTCTCTCTCTGTCTCTCAAATAAATAAATAAAATCTTAAAAAAAAGAAAGAGTTGGACACTTAACCGACCGAGCCACCCAGGAGCCTCAAGACCCCAAATGTTTGTCTTAATTGCTTTTGCTTTTGGAGTTCAAAATGCCTCTTAACCTTTTCCAGTGAGCCCGACACTATAGGAAGATAATACCATGTTTCCCCACAAAGGCTCTATGACTCTGTCCTCCGTGCTTGGTCTGGTTGAAAGTAGTGATGATCTCATTTGGGGGAGAGATCAGTTTTAGATCAAATGGCACACCTGATATTTCTGACTCACACTGTTTCAATGAATAAACTCTCTTAGCTCCTTGCAGTCCTGAGATAAAAAGCATTTCGAAGGATGTATTCTCCACAATTAACGTGCACTGGCGACCCACCAATGATGATGCCACTTACACGGTGACAGCCCAGGGGGAGACAGGGCTGTTTCGGTGCAGCAGCAGGGGAGAGTCCTGCGCCATGGCGGGCTTGCCCTGTGGCTCGGTGTTCTCCGTCACCGCGGTGGCCGAGACACAGGCCGGCCGGAGCCTGCCCAGCTACAGCGTGACCCTAGAAACAGGTCGGTAGCAGCCACCAGCCTGAATGTTGACTTCAGTGTGGTCCTTAGATACTGTTCTAAGACGTGAACTTTCTCATTTGATCTGCCCGGAGTGTGACAGAAATATGTTAAACTCATAAACAGCCCCAGTCTCAGAAAATAAGACTTGCAACCCTGGGACACGGTTTCTGTAAAAATGTCATCAGAAGACTCTAATATAGTCATATGCTGACCTCAAAGGAGGGGTACATGGACTCTACAAAACATGTGTTTGAATTCGTACTCCTCCGTGACATAACCTCCCAAAACAGCTAGCAAGTGGCCAAATGAGCTGGCTTATTTTTTATTTCTTTGGCTCAGCCCTTTCAAATCTTTCTGTAGAAAATGCTTTCTGAGTTTCAGTTTTCTAATTGGTAAAAGGGGCATCATGGGTTCCTGGGAGGGGGCGCGGCGTGGGGCGGGGTGTGAATGTTAATGCTGCAAGCACTCCACAGGGTGCCTGATACATAGTAAGAGCTTGGTAAAAGCGTGCTGTTCCTGCTTCATACTGCTGGGTGTAAGGCAAATTTAGCAAATTACATAAAGCCTTTGGACATTATTTTCTCTTATGTACAAAGGATGGCACTTTGGACTATAAAAGTTGGAACATAAAAAGCAGCAGAACAGAGACAATGCCCAATACTCAGGAAGATTCTAGATAACCTATATCCTGAATCATGGGCCCCTGAAAAATTGAGAATTGGCCGTGATATTCTTAGGTGGCTAAAAATACTACAAGCTTTTATATCAATAATGCACTATGAAATGCATGAAAAAGGCAAAATACATTTAATTGTAAAGGCTATAAAATGTTACATTGAGAGAAGAGGTGAATGCAGCCATTGCTTTGAAATTTGCAACTGAGATTGCTAAGGTTGGGGAACAAAAAAGGATTTCTTCCTTATTTTGAAAAAAATTGGAGCTCACATTACCCACAGCTAGTTAGTGCTCCACGTTCTTGAGAAAAGCACCCCTGATGTACACTTGATGTTAAATAACGTATCCAAGGGAATGAGATTTTCCTTAACAAAATGAGATTTTGCTTAACAATGGAAGGTTTGAGAAATTTAGGATATTGAATGAAATACAGACAAAATACCATTCTTGGTTGTTTTCCGCAATAAATCCCCAATTCTTTCTCTTTTTCCCCACCTAAGTGCCGTGCTGTCCAGCTGGTCTGACAGTAACTCAGGTCACCCAGTCGGTAATCAATGTGAGCTGGACTGTTGGGACCGGGGCCCAAACCTATGTGACAGTTCTGGAGTCACACACCGGACAGTCGAAGTGTCTCACCCATCAAAACCAGTGCCTCCTGGGATGCATCTCTTGTGGCGTCAATTACACGGTGGTATTAAAAGCGATTAGTGCCACTGGGTTGACTGCAGACTGCACCTACCAAAGTTACTCCTCCAGTAAGTGACTTCTTTTAAACCCCAGCTCTGGAGTACCAGTAAGGATTTTGACTATTATAAATCCAGACACACACCCCTCCTTCTCATCTAAAAAGATGCTACCTCTCCAGCTAGCTAGCTTTATCAATTCAGGTTACTTTCTAAAATGTTTACAGTTTTCCTCTTGACTTAGAACCTCAAAGTTTCAGAGGCTTCTGTTGTTGGTTGGTGAATTGATTCCCTTGGTAACACAGTTCAGGTATACTTTTCCTGAAGGGAGGAGCGATTTTTGTATGGCACGGCTCCTCGCAGCACAGAGGAACTCAGTCTGGCAGAGTTTTCAGAAAGCATCGAGGTCACACATTCTGTTTGGCTTGAATTCTTTGGTTTTTTTTTTTTTTTTAAGATTTTAATTTTATTTATTTGACAGAGAGAGACACAGCGAGAGAGGGAACACAAAGCAGGGGGAGTGGGAGAGGGAGAAGCAGGCTTCCTGCTGAGCAGGGAGCCTGATGCGGGGCTCGAACCCAGGATCCCGGGATCATGACCTGAGCCGAAGGCAGATGCTTAACGACTGAGCCACCCAGGCGCCCCTTGAATTCTTTTCTTCTCATTATATTATGCTACTACCTCTCTCTTCTAAACCACGCCAGTCCCTTCTCTGGTTTCTTACTTCAACAGGCTGAAAGAGCACTGTCTACTGGCGGTTTTGGATCTTGTTCTTCACAAAGACCAAACCATCAGGGAGTAGCAGGGGGAGGTAGAAGTGGTACAGGGTTAGCAAATAAGATTCTCTTGTATGATTCTGGCCCACTGAAGTGGCTGCTTGGAGCACTGTTTTGGAAAAGAAAAAAGAAAAGGGAAAAGAAGAGAAAAGAAAACTCCTAAAAATGCCTTTTTAATGAGAAAGAGCACAATGATCAGTTAGTTGTATCTGCCCTGGGAGCATGGAATGGGAGAGATGAAATATAATTTTGCCACCTCAGGGGCAGTAGAAAGAGTCTTCAACCAGAGCCTAAAGCCATGGCTTCTTATAAGCTGCGTTGCCTTATCTTCCCTGACCCAGTTTCCTCAGTGGGAAGAGAAATGGTAATAACTATAATGTGAAAGCATTTATAACATGCTATACACAAGTAAGCCGTTTCATACTTTCTTTGGATCGCTTTTTTTCCATTAGATTTGCTACCTAAATTCTAACCCTGATACCCAGTTCTGGGAATATGGCCCACTGCTTATCTTCACATGTAAAAAAACTTTGTTTTGTTTTTAAAAAAAGGAAAGACTAAATCCAATGAACCTGATTATCTATAACTGAATTTTTAAATCATTATACAACATTTTTATCTTAGTTACTGAGTAACCCACCATTTGGTGCCCTGCTTGACACAGAATGTGTGACCTGCTCAAGGCATTTAGAAAAGAAAAAAAGAAGGACCTAGGGAGCTCGCATGGACAAAGTGTGGATGAGCAAAGCCTGGTCACTGGATCGCTGTGTAAGTGACTACTTCCCAGGTGTCATGCTACTCAGCCAGCAAAATAGGTCTTTCCAATTAAAGCTGAACGCAGCCAATTTAAATTCGATCCCGCTAAAGTCATATGGAACTAGGGCACTGTGAAAGCTCTAGACAAGGATCCTGTGCATTTGACTCACATAGTTTGAGATGCAATATGTATCTGCCAAGTGGGGACTTTTGGACTCACCACTCTTCTCTATTAAAAATGCATGGCCCACCTCGCCAGCACAGATGGATTTCTAATCACGGAAAGAACCTGAGTACCCCTTCAAAGAATGCTCTAATCCTGTATTATTTAGGTTACTTATATTCTTTCCCCATAGAAATAAGGGCCATGTTTATCCGATGGTGGAGTAAGTGATTTGTGTCTGTTTGTTTTTATCCTTCAGGTGCCTGCTGCCCTTTGGGAGTGAAATTATACAGGCTGGGCCCTAATGGCATTCGCATCTACTGGCAAGCCTCCAGGGGCTCTGCCAATTACAGCACTGACCTCTATGGTTCCAAAGGCATTTTCACATGTGCCCCAAGCGCTGGCCTCAGTTTTTGTGATGTCACCGAGATACCCTGTGGGGATGTATATACCGTGATGGTCTCACCAGTTGCTGAGACAGGACTGAAGCTTACTTTCTGCCCCCAAAAAATATATTCAGGTAGATCAAGTTACAACCCTTTATTTAAAACTAACTCTGAACTCAATCTGTGAATTTAGACTCAGAGCAATCACACTTATTTGCTATGTAGGAAGGTCAACAAGGTGGGAACTTTTTACATCCTGCAGGTGGATTCTGGCTACGAGGACCTCAAGCTTCTTTGGAATTGTGATGCTTTCTTATCATGTGATTTGGAGACACTCCTCTCTCCGTTGTCCCTTTCTTTTTCAGAAAACGGACCAGATGCTTGCTGTTTAAATAGTAAGGCAGATTTAAAATGACCTTCTGCTTTGAGATTTGGGAATAGATTTTAACATAGTCTCAGAGATAATGAAAGACACCCTGAAACGTTGGAAATTAAGAGACTTGAATCTTTCTTTGCACAAGTTCAGACTTATAACTAAGGAGAAGTCGGAGGATCAGGAAAAAAAATGAACTTATAAATCATAAACTAGGTTTGGAAATATGAGTGGGCAGGCAGACTGTGATCACAAAACAAGACTGTCAGCAACTGCCATCTCACCAGAGCTGGTGGAGAAACATTAGCAGTTCTCCTGCTCTGTGTACCAGCACCTTCTGCTACCTTGCCCAGGGCATAGTCATATATTTTTTCATACATTTCTAAAAAAAATTTTTAAAGAAAAGAGATGATCAGGCCCTAGAATTTTATAGGTGATCACAGGAAGAGGAATAAGTATGGGCTCGGAAATCTTTACTGATGAGGCGCCTAGGTGGCTCAGTAGGTTGGGCGTCTACCTTGAGCTCAGGTCATGATCCCGGGGTCCTGGGATCAAGTCCCACATGGGTCTTCCTGCTCAGCAGGGAGCCTGCTTCTCCCCCTGCCCCTCCCCCTACTCGTGCTTTCTCTCTCTCAAATAAATAAATAAAATCTTTTAAAAAAAAGAAATCTTTACTGATAACCAGAATCTAAAATTCCCAATTATGTGTAGGTGACGAGAAGACGCAAATGGCCCCTGGACAGAACCAGGCCAGCTTCTCTTGCTGGTGTTCTTGCCGCCCTTGGCTGCCATGCTCTGATTCCTTGTTTTTTCATTATCTTGTCCACAGGACAAGCTGGCCCAGAGTACTGCCCTATGGGAAGGGACAGGAATAGCTTCTTAGGGTGAGGATCAGCTCTTCAGGAAAAAGAGACTTTCGCTCAATAACAGCATTTCATCATATCTGCATTATGTTTTATAGTTTATCAAGTGTTTTCACATTCAGTATCTCATTGAATGTTCAAAATAACTCTATGGTTAGGTTCAACAAAGTTTATTATCTCCAATTTATAAATGAAAAAAACGAAGTTTCCAGGCTCCCATATCTCTATCTATAACTCTTCATTTATTTATTTGTCAGAGAGAGGGAGAGCACGAGTGGAGGAAGGGCAGAGGGAGAAGCAGACTCCCCACTGAGCCGGGAGCCCGATGTGGGCTCCATCCCAGGACCCTGGGATCATGACCCAAGCCGAAGGCAGATGCTTAACCGACTAAGCCACCCAGGCATCCCAACACTTCTCTTCTTCTAACCCCTAAATTCTTATTCCTATACCTCTACCTGGAGGTGCCCCAGACACTTCAACTCCTCAGGGCCAAAGGGAAGTCCTGATCTTCTCCTGCAATTTCTAATCTTCCTCCCAGCATCCTTGTTTCGGGTATGAGAGCTGGAAACCAGCTTCCTTCTCCCTCACCCTCCATATCTCAGGGGTCTCCAAGTCCTGTCCTGTTCACTTCATGATGGTTTTATTTTTTTAACTTTTTAAGTAATCTCTGCACCCAACATGGGGCTCAAACTCACAACCCCAAATTCAAGAGTCACATGCTCTTCCAACTGAGCCAGCTATGCATCCCTCATGATGGTTTTTATTTATTTTTTTCAAAGATTTTTTTTATTTATTTGAGAGAGAGAGAGAGAGCAGACGAAGAGGGGGAGGAGCAGAGAGAAGTAGACTCCCCGCTGAGCAGGGAGCCCAATGGGGGGCTCAGTCCCAGGACCCTAAGGTCATGACCTGAGCCAAAGGCAGCCGCTAGACCAACTGAGCCACCCAGTCACCCCTCATGATGGCTTTTAAATCCAAATTCTCTTCTCTCTCCTACACCTACAGTTATATGATAGGTCCTCACCACTTCTACCCTAGAATACTGCACCAGTCTTGTCTTCCTGAGTTCACGCCAGCCTCCATACTATTACCAGAGGTGTCATTCCAGGACACTGATCTGATTGTGTTTCTTCTATGCTTCAAAGTCCTCAAAGTGTTCCAATGCCCAATAGGATAAAAGTCAGTACTTTGAGCGTGGCATTCAAGGCTCCTCCTAGTTTGTCTGTAGTTGGTCTTCCTACACCTGCATTGTGCAATAGATATTTAATGCAAGCCATGTATGAAAAGATTTAAATTTTCTAGTAGCCACATTAAAAATAGGGGTGCCTGGGTGGCTCAGTCGGTTAATTGTCTGCCTTTGGCTCAGGTCACGATCGTTCACACACATCTGCCCTCAGCACACACATATTCCATGCCATATCGTGCTTCTGAGCTGATGCAGTACTCTCCTCTTTGCCTGGAATTTCACCTCCACCAAGAGAACTCCACCAGCACAAATCTCCTCTCCTCTGTGAAGTCTTCTCCAGTTCCTAGAGGCTGATTTCATCTTCTTGCTCCCTCCTTTATGACACCATATGACCCACATCTTTACCACACCATATGACTGTGAGTTGAAAATGTGTTATTTTCCCTAATAAATGGTCATCTCTGGACTCTCAACACATAGCACATAACTATCACCCAATATATTTTAAATTAAAAAATTAATGAATTAATGAATTTCTGTGTTTGCCTATGATCCTACAGCCAGTATGTTAGCCACCAGAAGTCCCTGTTAGCTAGAGCTCTAATACCCTCTGGTGGGATGCCATCTCAAGGCTGCTGTCACTCCACTTTAGTAAGGATTGGGTGTCTAGACTCAAGTTAGGGAATCCATCTCTCTGGTAAAAACCAGGTGTCTGGGGGAAATTTTTTGGTTTTGTTTTTTGGGTTTCCTTTTTTTCAATATCAGTGACACCTTCCTTTGATAATTAGGACAATACTATAAATGATACTAATGACTGTTGTTTATTGAGGGTATGTGCCTGGCACTATCCTAAGGGCTTTGCATACACTAACTCAGTTGATCCCTGTAACGACCTTATGAGGTTGGCGTTCTAATTCTTACCACTTTACAGATAAACTAAAACACAGAAAAGTGAAGTGACTTCCCCAAGTCATACTGCTAGTAGCCATCTCCTCTTATCACTCAAGCTGGTTCTTATTCATTCTTTGGTTGACTATCCCATTATTCTTTAAGTTATATCTTCACCATCTTTTTAAAAAATATCTTCACCATCTTACGTATGTCAGTTAATATGTTTTAAATGCTTTTGTTGTTATTCATTACAGTAACCTGCTCTGGAAGTACACTTGGAATGGGTAAGTCATTTTTCTCATGGATAAAATAGAAGAGAATTTTTGTTGTTGCTCTTTCAGGTGATGTAATGAAGTAGGAATCAAAGCTGACTTGGTGAGGTGAGAGGTTCTTGGCCTCCCCTCCCACAACTTTTCTCCCCTACTGGAATGCCTCCCCTCAGATTCCACCAGTTGAGACAGATTCCTTTGCAGTCAGAAGTCTTTTCAGTCTCCTAGGGTCCCACAGGAGAATGTAAATACGGTTCAGTAGAGGCAGCTGCTTCATCCTTCACTACAGAGACTGGTTCCCAGCCCTGCTGGACAGTGAGTCACCTTGAGAGCTTAAAAGTAATTGATGTCTGGTCTTTATCCCCACAAAATCTGATTTAATTGGTCTGGGATAAGTCTGGGCATCGGGATTTTTCAAAGCTCCTTAGGTGATTCTAAAGGAGAGCCAAGCTGGAGAACTGCAGCTTTCGAGCAGAACTTCTCAAACTTTATTGTCCATACAAGTCACCTGGGACCTTGTTAAAACTAGATTCTGATTTGGTAGGTGTGGGAGGATCTGAGACTTTGCACTTTTAACAAGGTCCAGGTGATGCCGGTGACATCGAGGCTGCATGTCTGACCACACTTGCAGTAGCCAGGTGTTAGAGGGAATCTGTTAACAGCTTGCAAAGAGCCAACACGTCTGCTTCCAGTTTGCAAGGGTGGATATGTCCTGTGGGGGAAATGGGGGTACTAAAGGGGAGTTGGAGTAAGGATAAGTCCTATGCTCAGGACTGATCTCGGCTAGGGGGCTCCTCGCCGCACGTGGAGGCTACTCCTGGGAAGGGCTGCAGGGATGACCACAGAGCTGTGAGTGCTGACCCAGTGAGTAGCTTGGGCTGCTTCATGAGGAATCCTTGCCATGTCTTCTAGGGACCCGCTTGGTTTGGGGCTTTGAGAAAACCCCCAGGGAATATTATCAACCCCAAACTACAGACAGGATGGACACACACACACACATACACACACAACCACTTTCCCAGTCAGACATGGCTGACCTCAGAGGCTAGGAGTGGAAATGAAGTCTTCTTATCAGTAAACCCCACAGGAGAGCCCCCAGTTTGGGCCAGCTCTCCATCCAACACTTCCACTGGCAGGAATTGGGTCTGGAGTCTCCCTCCACTGCCTATTCTCTCTTTCCTCTCCTGGTCCGTTGCTTCTCTGAGGACAGCAGGACACATGCTTTCCAGTTCTTGTCCACCAGCAGGTCTGAAATAAGCCCAAGCCCCATTCATTTTTTTTTTTAAGATTTTATTTATTTGTCAGAGAGAGAGAGAGAACAAGCAAGGGGAATGGCAGGCAGAGGGAGAAGCAGGCTCCCTGCTAAGCAGGGAGCCTGATGTGGGGCTCGATCCCAGGATCCTGGGATCGTGACCTGAGCCGAAGGCAGACACTTCACCGACTGAGCCACCCAGGTGTCCCAAGCCCCATTCATTTTTAAAAGGTTTTTGTTTCCAGCGACTATCGGGAAACCAGCCTAGCTTATTAAAAACAAACTGAGGAAACTTCTAAATTATAAAAAAAAATTGCTTTAAAAAACTCCCAGAGGACTCATGACCACAAGCCCTGGTCTTCAGTGAAACGTACACAGGCCTGGGTCTGCGTTTTTGGAAACCGTCCAGTATTGGGACAGTATTTAACCAGTGTTCCCCTGAGCCGCAGAGGGTAATAGACGTGACTCGGGGGCCCCTGGCTGGAGACAAGTATTGTGTTATAGAGGCCTTCCCTAAAATTTTGTTAAAGACAGAGTTGCAATGCTTTTTAAAAAAATGCTTGAAAACCATCACTCACAGACTTGGCTTCTCATCAGGATCACCAGAAAGCTTGTTCAAAATGTATAGTCTCGGGGGGCACCTGGCTGGCTCAGTCGGTAGAGCATGTGACTCTTGACCTCGGGGGTTGTGAGTTCAAGCCCCACCTTGGATGTAGAGATGACTTTAAAAAAATCTTCAGAAAAATGTTTTATAAATGTGCAATCTTAGGCCCCACTCTGATTTATTAAATCCTCAGGTGATTCATATGCATATTCAAATTTGAGAAACACTGCTTAGGTATTAATTCTCAAACTTTGATGTATATCAGAATCTCTTGGAGAGCTAATAAGGAATGTAGAGGGATGCCTGGCTGCCTCAGTTGGTAGAACATGCGGCTCTTGATCTTGGGGTCCTGAGTTTGAGCCCCATGTTGGGTGTAGAGATTACTTTTAAAAAATGTAGATGCCCAGGCCTGTTGAGGTGGGATAAGTCAGACGCTCAACGACTGAGCCACCCAGGCGTCCCTAGAGAGCACTTAATAAATGGTAGTTATTAATTCAGGATCCATTTAAGCTTATCTCATGCTCTATTATGTGCCAGTTATTAACATTTTAAGTTGCTACTTCTAAAAGATATTTGCTTTGTAACCTCAGTTCTCATAATACCCTAATTCATTGGTTCTCAAAGCGTGATCCCAGGGCCAACAGCATGAGCAACATCTGGGAACCTCTTAGAAATATAATTTGTGGGGCTCCACCATAGACTTAATGAGTGATGAGTCAGAAATTCCAGGCTTGGGGCCCAGCAATCTTTGTTTTAACAAGCCCTCTGAGTGATTCTGATGCACGCCAGCGTTTGAGAACCACAGCCCTAATTCACAGAAGCTACTGTGATGCTGGAAATTTGATTCAGGTTGGAAAAGAAAGGGAAAACAATCTCCCTGAGGCAAGGGGGCTCTGACAGGAGGTAGCCTGACATCACTCCGTGGAGGCATTCTTTGTCCTCAGCATCCAGCCTCACCTGCACTTGCAGGGGAATTTTAACTCCCTCAGCAGTTAAATGGAGTTATTATGTTGTCCCTACACAGCCCCTTGAATCAGTAAAATGTGGGAGCTGTCTGAGAACACAACAAATTGGCCTGGGGGTAGAGAGGAAATTCTTTGTCCTGAGTCGGCAGACTGAGCTCTGAGAGCCTGTGGGTGGGGTCATTTCCTAAAGCACCCTGGTTAGTTGGAACCTACTGGTCAGTTTCTTCTTGCCCATTTGAACAGTTCAGATTGTCTTAATTTCCTGTTTACTTGCCATGAAGTGCTACAAAAACAGCAATTCAAATCAAAACACCAAGCTAACTCTCAGAGACATTTGAGGACTTTTTAATTTAAGAAAATGTCTGTGTATTTAATGTATTTTGTGGCTTCCTCCCTTTCCTTGCCCTTTCAGTGATTTACAGAGGGAAAAGAAATGCAGAATGACACAGAGAGCCACGGATAAAAACAGAGGCTTAACCTAGTGAGTAACTTAAATTGAAAGGGTATGAGTCAAAGGCAAAGTTTTTTGGCTTTGTTTTTAAAAAATTCTTCCCATATCTTTTGCAGGTTTGATTCACTTGTTAGTGTGATTAGAGGGGGAAAAGCTCTATTAGGATACAACAATGTCTCTAGGGTAGAATAAGCTCTCTTGGCCTCTGGAAGGACAACTCTGCACTTCCTGAAGGCAGGCAAGGTCAGGTGTGTCCTCACCTGCACAGGAGTTCAAGATCTGCTATGGAGACGACTCAGTAGAGCAATTAATCCAGAAAGTGCTCTGGAAGACTGCCACAGTGAGCTCGCACACTGTGAAAGTTCTGGAAACGTAAAAGGTCTGCTTTGCAGAAACTGTCTCTGAGATTTCATATCCAAACACCACACAGACTTCCACATATGCACTTCATAACTATTTCATGGACACCGGCACTTGCCACGCAGGCTTCTTGCCATTCAAGGGCTGCAAGTGTTCACTCCCGGAGAGCTTGAAATCAAGCCACCACGAAGAGACCCTGCTCATCTCAAGACAGACCTCCAGCAGGACCTCGGCGTAGGTTGGAGAAAGCAGCTTCCAGGACAGCCCTTGTAGTGTTTGCCAAGCCAGAGCATCATGTGATGTTTTCTCTGCGTGAGCATCTGGGCAAGCAGAGCCACTGGCCTGTTGCTGGAAGGATTGCAGTCAAGGTCGTGAGTGAGCAGAGGTCAATGGAGGGACAGCCAAGGCAAAGCCTTCCTCAGTGGCAGACTGACATTCACACGTCTTTTGTGGGGAGGACCATCAATCTTGTTGGTCACATCCCCCACTCACACTGCACTATTTTCATCTTTGGAGAGGAAGAACAATGATATATAATATAAATCTGCTGTACCTAGAAAAATGTTTGTCCTTTGAAGGCTTATTAAAAAATAGTGTGGGGGCGCCTGAGTGGCTTAGTTGTTAAGCATCTGCCTTTGGCTCAGGTCATGATCCCAGCGTCCTGGGATCGAGCCCCACATCAGGCTCCCTGCTCCGCAGGAAGCCTGCTTCTCCCTGTCCCACTCCCCCTGCTTGTGTTCCCTCTCTGTGTCTCTGTCAAATAAATAAAATCTTAAAAAAAAAATAGTGTGAGTAGGGGCACGTGGGTGGCTCAGCCGGTTAAGCGTCTGCCTTCGGCTCACGTCATGATCCTGGGGTCCTGGGATGGAGTCCCCGCATCATGCCCCCTGCTCAGCACAGGAGCCTGCTTCTTCCTTTCCCTCTGCTGCTCCCCCTGCTTATGCTCTCTGTCTCTCTTTCTCTGTCCAATAAATAATTAAATCTTTTTTTAAAATAGTGTGAGTAGGAAAAACAGCGTTTGTTGCATCAGAGAGCACCACAGAGTAGGGCTGAGTTTAATTCACTTTTGTTCTGAAGCACCAGTATGTGAACAGGAGCTGAACTAGGTGCATCTACATCACTTGGAGAACTCATTGCTTAATAGGGATTTCCAGCCATCACCTCTGGAGATTCTAATTCAGTACATCTGGGACCAGGCTTGGGAATCTAGTTTTAACAAACTCACCAAGTGACACGTGGCCAGGTTTGAGAAACTTAAAAGGTTTGCATTGGTGACCTCTTTCCTGAAGCAAAATTTTAGGCTAAGAAGTGTTAAAAGATAAACTGGGGCATATTAAACATTTTAAGAGTTTGAACAGAACCTGATTCTAATTTAGTAGCACCAAACCAGAAGTGGTTAGGAGCACTCTACTGTCAGGATCTCAAGGAAAGACCTTCATAAAGAAGAGATAGAAGGAAAGCAATATTATTTGATTGGCTATAGCTTAAGGGGTTTCCATATTTGAGAAAGCCTATTTGGCTGTTTGGATGTCCTTAGATTATGATTTTTTTTCTTAAGATTTTATTTATTTATTTGAGAGAGAGAGCAAGCGTGAGCACAAGTAGGGGGAGGGAAAGCAAGAAGCAGAATCCCCTGTTAAGCAGGGAGCCTGACGCGGGGCTCGATCCCAGGACCCTGGGATCATAACATAAGCTGAAGGCAGATGCTTAACCAAGCCACCCAGGAGCCCCAGATTTTGATTTCTTAACCTTGAGATACTATAGGCTTAGGTTTTGGTTTGCTTACACAGGCTGCCAAGACATTAGAACCACCTCAGTTTAATGGCCTCTTTGTTTAACAGAAGATAGAGGGCTGTGACATGTAAGGGAAGATTGGTGAGAAGATCTGGAGGGATCTATGAGGTTCAGAGTGGGTCCGTGCCATGTGAGGGCAACCATGAACTGGGACAGTGTTCTGGGCTGTGGTGCAGGGCCCATGTGAGACTGTGGTGAACCGACTTGCCAGCAGGTGTTCTCTCCAAATAGAGCTGTGTCCATGGCTGACTGGAATGGCCAAAGAGCCAAGGGCTAAGGCCAAATGAAGGTCAGAATCCTTGGTTCTAGGACACTAGGGGGCTGGGACCAGTACACCTATACCTTATGAACACAGAGAATGAAATGACCATTTACTTTACCTAGGCAACTGAGGCTGGGCTGTTTTGGTCAGAATTCCACAGAAGACAAGATGGTCCACACTGGGTGAACATAAAACCAAAACATGGATGTAGCACATGTGCTTCTAGGTGCTTTCCACATACTCAGTTCATTCTCAGAACAACTTTATGAGCTAGATAATATTCTTTTATACAGATAAGAAATATGAGACTCAGAAAGGTCAAGTAACTCACTCATGTTTACACGGCTAACCAGTCGAAACAAAATTCTCAAGGGGCCAAGTAAATATGTAGCATTGATGAGACCTACTAATCCATGATATTTTTATGGAGACTATTTCTCTGGATTGTCATGATTAAGTCATCATTTATTAATGAAGAAGAACTGGGAATAAGATGGTGAGTGATCTGCCCTAACTTAAGAGCTTTTGGTTATTTTGACTAGTTTTCTTTTTTCAAATTCTTTCAAAACATCATAGGCAGATGTTTTGCCTCTGACCAGTGTTGTTGGATTTTACCTTACATTCTGCCATGTCATGTTCAGGAGACTCAAATTCCTTGTTCAATTTGCTTAGGCAAACAAACTAGAAGAGACAGACAGCTCAGGGAGGTTATACAAAATTAGTCGAGCAAGGGAGGGTATGCAATATGGTACAACGGAAAAGGCAATGGTCTTGGAGCCATTCCAACGTCTTACATGATTTATTTAACTTCTGAATCTCAGTTTTCACATCTGTAAAATGGCAATAAGTGTTTTCATCTTGTTGGGCAGTATGAGGTTTTATCACAGTTAACACATAAATGCAATGAAACTGAAATGTTTGAAGTCACACTGCTACTAAGAGGCAGAGCCAGGATTTTAGGTTGTGGACCTGTATCTTTGTGAAGCTAAGGCACACATTTGTTCCACTATAACACACTGCCACCTTGGAATCTAGCCTTCAGGGGCATGAGCCACAGCTGTATCCCATGTGATCCAAGTCAAACTTCCAAGCCCTGAGGGCCTTTTTGTGTCATTCCCTGGCACCTGGAGGCACTTCACCCACCTCATTCCTCTGTCTTGGTTTGACTCTTTAGGGCAAGGAGCTCCATTTCAGAGGGTGAGTCTGCACTGTCATGTCTTCTTCTTATGGGTTGGGGCCCCACCTCCTATACTAAGCAGAATCTGATTTTCAATTGCAGAGGGAGAGGGAAATAATGTGTTCATTTGTTTAAGATTCGAGCAGCTGAGTCCATTTAACATAGGTTTAAGAGGCCAGGGTTCCAGGTTCCATTCCCATATAGGCCATGAATGGAAAAACCATTAATGCCACAGGTTGCGCTTGAACCCATTTTATGGCTGCTTTTATTCTTCATTCTCCTTTTCTCTTCTACAGAGCATATATTGCAAATTATCCCATAGACTACTCTATTGCTTTCTGTGTAGCTTATGCTTTATTCTAGTCCTCACTCCACCACAAGGTATCGGTTTCCTTGTCTTTAGGGGTTGCTTTGAGGATCAGTGAAATAATCCACTTACCATGATAACTTGCATGTAATAGCACTCAGTAAATATTAGCCATTATTTTTTAAGTTTTTTTTAAAGATTTTTTATTTTTATTTATTCATGAGAGACAGAGAGAGAGAGAGGCAGAGGGAGAAGCAGGTTCCCAAGGAGCAGGGAGCCCGATGCGGGACCCAATCCCAGGGCTCCGGGATCATGACCTGAGCCGAAGGCAGACGCCCAACCATCTGAGCCACCCAGGCGCCCAATATTAGCCATAATTATTACGAGTATAGTAACTAACCATTTCCACTTTGCTATTAAGACTATTGGTTCTTTGCAAATCTGCAGGAAAGTCTACTTTCTGACTGTACATGATGGCTATGTCACAGATGGGGCTCTCAGCAACTAAACTGATTTATTTTGTGACTGATTACTTTGATTTCACCTCAAAAGAACCCTCTCGGGAAATACCTCGGTGCCAAAAATTTCTTAAAAAAATTTTTTTTTCTCCTTACTTGTTAGTGAGAGAGCACGAATGCGCACACACGCAGGGGAAGCGGGACTCGATCCCAGGACCCTAAGATCATGACCTGAGCCCAAGACAGAGGCTTAACCTACTAAACCACCCAGGCATCCCAAGGCATTTTCTTTTTCAATCAACTTTTGACTACCTTCAACACGCCAGGAATGAAGATCTCAAAGGAGATTTAAAATTCTTCAGAAGTGGGTCTTTCATTTATTTGAGTGCCCTGAAAGTCTTGCATAGTTCGGGGCACACAGGAGGGGACCTCAGAGTTCTATACAATTATTATGTCCTCGAAAAATGAGTAAAAAAACCTTTAAGGGATAAATTTTCTATTCGATAGTTGCGCTGGCCACTGAGTGTATTATGAATGGCTTCGCAAAGTGAAGACTTCTTTTGCAAAGAGAAGTACTTCTTCAATACTGTATGCTTGAATTCGGAGTTTCTTAACATCGCGTTATCGCTCAACCCACAGGCACCGTTTCGCTTTTCACAGGTCGACGAACTT